GTCATGAGTTGAGGTGAGGAACTAATGAAGCCAGGATTTGAAACTTGGACAAGTGCTTCTATCAAAAGGCTTACATTTTTTCCCCCTTTTGAGGCAGCTCAAGATGGCCTCAAGTTTGCTATGTAATTGAGGATGACCTTGAATTCCTGATTCTCCTGTCTCCACCTGTTAAGTGCTGGGATTATAGGCACATGCCACCACACCCCGTTTTTTATTTGTTTAAGACAAGGTCTCCTTACATAGTCCAGACTGGCTTCAAACTTAAAGACCTCCTGCCTCACCCTTTAGAGTGATGGGATTATAGGCATGTACTACTATGGCCAGCTCTAAGTGTTCACTCTGGATGTGTGTGTGTGTGTGTGTGTGTATACAAGGATGTGCATGCACACGTGAGTATGTGCATGGAAGTCAACATCAGGTGTCTTGCCTCAGTCACTCCCCACCTTATTTTTTTTTGAGACAAGATCTCTCATTGAACCTCACTGTGCTAGATCAGCTGACCAGCAAGTCCCAGGACCACCCCCCACCCCCATCTCTGCCTTTCATGAACCACCATGCCTGACTTTTTACACAAGTTCTGCAATTGAACTCAGGTTCTCACACTTGTACAGCAAGCACTGTACTAAGTGAGCCATCCCCCCATGCCCCAGAGTATTCACTTTTTAATCATGAATTCTGAAGTGACCTTGCTTCTGACCGGGGTGGGCAGGGGGCAGAATTTTGTTGTCAGGAGATATTGCATAATATCTAGTGACAGTTTTGGGTTTTCCAACTGGGGTGTGCTGCTGACATCGAATGGGTTGAAGCCAGGGATGTTGTTCAACATCCTACAATACACATGAAGTCCCTTTCAATAAGGAACAAACTGGCCCAACATGTCAACAGCACCAAGATTTAGAAGCCCTGCATCGGAGAAATCAATGTGAAGAAACACAGAGAGAGGCTGGCGTAGGGTGCTGCCTTTGTAGGTGCCAACTCCCCCTCTCACCAACTGTGCAGGCTCTTCTGCCTCCTCCTCCCTTCAAGCTTGGCCCCCACCCCAGTCCTGCAAAGCCTCAGACTCTTACCCCCACCCACACTGCCTTCCCTGTACAGAGCACAAACAGGAACTTATTATCTTCCTCCTCAGAACCTTCCCCTCCACGCTCTTTATCACAGTTAAAAATACCACCCTCCTCCTCACAGGTGAGTGCCATTGTCCCGCCACGTATGCCCTCCCTATCATCCAGAATACTGTGCCTGCTGTCTCCCAAATCTTTGCTCAGCCTTGTGTTCCTATTTCACCAACCTACTTTGGGCCAAAATAGCTTCTTAAGCTGCTTTCCAATCATGAGGCTGAAGTTACTTAGTATCACCTGCATTTGATCATCCAGAGCATGAATTTCATGAAGAATTCAAGTAAAGGGCTTTAATAACCCATCTAACTCCCAGTCTGTGACTCTAGGATAAATCCATGATACTCTGTACCTTTCCCCTTGGCCTTCTCTCCAGTGGACAATATGGCTTTTCTCTAGTTCGGAGTCTGCCCCATCCCGTTCCCCTTCACCTAGGCTCAGTCCTGCCTCTGCAACTGCTTCCACTCCACTGGGACCTTCCTGTCACCCACAGATGCTGGCATGCCCGGCCATCTTTAAGAAGCCTCCACCCTTACCTCCCACTTGCTAGACAGCCACATTTCTCAAAAGAGTTGTCTACACTTACAGTCTCCCACTCATTCTTCAACCCACTGCAATCTGGCTTCCAATCCCTTCACTCCATCCACACAGCTCTGGTAAAAGTTACCAGCCTTGTGATTATCCAGTGCAATGAACATTTGCTTTCCAGTTCCACTGGACTGAAATTTTTGGCATATTTATGAGTGTTGGCCATCCCCTGCCTCTGGGAGTAAATTCTTTCCTTGATCAGTGTTTCTCTTTTCGCATTTCTCTTCCCACTGTCTAAGGATGTACTCAACTGCAACTCGCACCGATAGCACCAACCACCAGGAAAGGCAATACATGGTAGCAAGAGTCTGGAGTCCAGAACGCCTCTACTCACTAAATGTTTGGCCTTGGGCAAGTTGCCCAACACTGCAAGGCCTCGGTTTCAACTATAAAACAGTGCAAAGGCTTATTACTTGCACCATTTCTTCTGATGATGTTGAACCTGCTGGTATTACCCATTCACGCTGTTTTGGCTTGGGCACATAAGGAGTGTCTAGCTAATATTTGCGTATGTGAATGCATGCTGCTCTGAATGGAGTTTCCCTCAGAAGCAAACCTGGAGACAAGGAGTTAGGTGTGGTTACTTTTCCTGGGAGGCATCCCAGGAACAACAATGGAGGGAGTGAGAAGCGAGAGGATGAGTTAAAGAAGTGACTGCTGGCTGGGGTTCAACTGGATCAGTCCCACTGAAGATCCTCTTGGGAACCGTGTTGAAAACATTTTATCCTTGTTTCCCATTGGAAAACAGGAAGCAGAGGCATTTATTCCCTGATAGTTAGTGGGCTGCCATAGGATTGTTGGGTGCTTCTGGGTTGAGCAAGGTGCCACTGCCTTGGAGGACGTCCCAGGCAGAGGGAACTATGAGATGGACAGAGGGCACCACGTTGCAGCTGCAGGTAAGATGCCATGCTCAGGGGACACGGAGCCAATTGCCACCTAGACATATATCCAATGCTCTGCTTACTTTAAGAGCACCCACCCACTTCCCGGAAGTGTTGCCCAACCTCTCTGTACCCCCACCCCACACGGTGTTCTATACAGTCCCATGACACCCTGGACATCCCTCTATGAGTCCTTACCTCTCTGTTTCCTTAATGGCACTTTCTTGTCTGTTTTTCTTGGAGAATAAGAACATCTATCTAGACACAGTGGCCAGAAATTTTTGAGTACCCTACGAGCACTTCGATTCAAATTCCTGCCAGGCCTTTCTTAGGTCCCTTTCCTTCATTTCACCTCAAAGAGTTTGGCATCTAATATGACCATCTAGGGCCTAGAGAGATGGCTCAGTGGTTAAGAGTACAGACTGCTCTTGCAGAGGACTTGGGTTTGCTTCCCAGCATCACATGGTGGCTAACAACTTTCCATAACTCCAGTTCCAGGGGAATCAGACGCTGTCTTATGACCTCCCCAGGCACTGCACGATATGGGTGCACTTATATACATGTAGGCAATACACTCATACACATAATATAAAAATAATAAAGAAAAAATTTAATATGAACATGTAATGTGACATGTGAAGCCTTTCTTGGGGTTTTGAGACATGGGTTGCATGTATCCCAGGCTGTGCTTGAATTCCCTACATAGTCAAAGATGACCTTGAACTCCTGGTCCTCCCAAGTACTGGCATTACAGGCATGCGCCACCATGCCCAGCCCAATAAGTAAGGTCGTTAACGAACAGAAATGCCGGGGAAGCACAAAGGAGGGAGTAATTAACTGAGGTTGTACCAAAGAGGCTACAGTTACCTTGGCTGACAGTCTTAATTCCTCATAGCATTCACAGTGAATTATGCTGCCCGGGTGGGAGTTGAACCTGCAGTTGTAGTCTTTGCCCCTTTCATTCATTCCTTCAACATGCATTTACTGACAGGTTCCCATGGGCTAGCACTGATCTTGGCACCGGGACACCAGAACGAAGGAGTCAGGCAGATCCTGCTGTCATGCAGCTTAGCCATGGGAGAATGATAAGCATCCAGAAAAGTAAAACAGTGACAAGGGCTATGAAGCAATAAGACCAGGCATGCGGTGTGAGGGAGAGGTGGAGGTGAGGGTGTGGATGGGAGACAAGGAGATCAGATGGTTAGGGAAAACTCCTCTGTGGAACTGACTTCTGGCTTTGTGATTCATCTGCCAACCTGATTTGGGTAGAGTCTTTCCAAAATGGTATTAGCTACAAAAGGCAGGATCCTGGGCTCCTAGTGTCCAGCTTGGACTTTTTCTAGTACTTCTGACCACAGGAAGAGTTGGGGTAAACAGACAAATCCAGATGCAAAACTAATGTTGTTCCCTTGGAGAAGCTGGGCTGGTACCTGGCTTTCAGTTTCCAGCACATTCATTTCAGTTTTCACTCACCCTCCTCTGTTTCCCCTTCTAAGTCTGGGTTTCAAAGGAATCTGAAACACTTACAGCAAAACCACCAAACTGCAGCCTCCAGGTAGAAAAACCCCAAATGTGGCAGTTCCTTGGCAAACCACAATGAATCACTCCCACTGGCTACCCAGACTCCCTGGTTAGGGACTGATTCTGGCTTTCCAAAACTTTGTAAACATCTCAAGACTTTTTAACACCCCTCCCCCCATGTCCTCCCCCTCCCCCCCTCCTCAGGTTAAGAACAAAATCCCAAATTTTGTGAGGTTTGGTGAGTTTCAGATTTCACCAGAAGGGGGTCTGGCAAGCCACTGACCTTTTCCTCTACAGGTTCTGAAAGACTGAAAGAAAAACAGACATCCAGTGATGAGGAGGAAACCGAAGTCCTAAGGCTAGACCTCTGTCCCTGGCTCCCTGTAGGCCGGCCTAGACACGTACAAGTTAGAAGTCTTCTTTCTCTGAGCAACAAAAAGAACTAATAAGAAAAATGACGGCTATCATTGATGTCTGCAATGTACCAGTCTCTGGCTAAGCACTTGGTCTCCGAATTAAGCCTATAAATATTCCTTTCCTATTTGAGAAACTGAGGCTCAGGGAAGTTAAACGCTATCACTTGGTCGGAAAAGGCAAAGGCCATATTCCAACCCCGGTCAGACACCCAAGTCCATGCTGAACTAGCCATCATCATGACTCCAAAGGCTCTGTCTCCAGGTACCGGGTAATAATAGAGAAATCAGCGCAAAGCAACCGGTGAAACTGGACAGGGAGAAGTAATTCCTTTCGCCGATGAAGGAAAAAGTGCCAGAAGATGGTCAGGCATCCCCCGCACGCTGGGAGAGAGGCTGGGCTCCTCCGCCGCTGTCCTGGTCCTAGGCCCCCTCCAAGGCCAAGGTTTTCTGCGGATAAGCCCCACCCTCCCATCGCTGCGCCAGGAGGAGGCGGACCGCGGCGTGGGGCTCCCGGCGAGGGCGCGGACCCCGGTGCAGCCCCCGCGCGCCCCGCAGAGTGCCGGCGGCCCAAGGGTTAAGCGCGGCGGGAGCCCCCTGCGCGGGGCGGCCGTGGGCCGGAGTGCTTAGTCAGGGTCCCGATTTCCTGCCGAAGTGTTTGGATTTCCTGCAGCCCGCGCCCTCCGCCGAGCGGGCTGGGGCAGGAGCGAGCGGCTCGCGTCGCCGGCCTCCTCCCCCTCGGCACATGGTCGCCCGCCCCTTCCTGCGCCGCGCTCGGCTCCCGCGATGGAATAATGCCCAGCAGCCCGCCCGGTCCCGGTGAGTTGCGGGGCGGCGGGGCGCAGCTCGGTCCCCGGCATCCCCGGCCGGTTCGGGGTGTCCCTGTCCTCCGGGAGGGCGCGGGCCCGGGGTCTGGGGCGCACGGGGCTGGCCAGGCCGCCCGGGGCTCCGTGCCCGGTGGTCCCCGCTTTGACTACCGCCGAGCCGGGACGCGCGGCTCCGCTCCTGGGAGAGGCCAGTCGGCCCAGGCGCTCTGCACGCGCGGCGGGTGCGGAGGCGCGGGTGCTGGTCGCCGCATTGTCTATGGCGCCGAGGAGGAAAGTTCCCCGTCGGCTCCGGGCCGGGCCTGGACTAGGCGCTGCCAGGAAGGCCCCAGACCCCTGACTGCAAGCTAGAGAGAGAAAGCAAAGGAAAGAGGGGGGGGGGCGCCGAATATCTCGGGGAGCTGGGTAGTGCCATGTTTTCCGCTTGTATCATTTTGGGACCTGATGCTTTTTCTGAGAGCGGCAAGAAGTTTAAAAGAAAAAAGAAACTAGCTGGTGTCCGGTTTTCTGAGGTTTAATAGATTCCGAGAGTTTATCCCGGGCTATTGAGGTGGATTCCTTTATCAGGGAGAGGAGTAGCCGACTCTAGACCATCCTTAACTCAGTCATTGCTGTATACAGATCGGAAAGACCAAGAACTTTCTCCCACTTTTTTCCTGCCATCTGTTCCATCAGTTTTTCTTAGCAGAATTGATTCTGGGATGACAGCGGGACAAGGATTGCTGAGTAATGTTTTAGGATTGAAAAACAAAATTCAGTTTTTAGGCCAGTTTCATGTTGGTGGCGGTCTGTCCTGCCAGGTCTGCCTGCCTGGCCATTGGAGGGCCAGCCCTTGTATAGCATTTGGAAGACATAGGTCTGCAATCGCCCAAACAACAGTTTAGAGAGAAAAAGATCTTCAAGGACAAATGTTTGAGCTTCTTGTTAGTGTGGATGGGGTGCAGAGAGGTGACCTGACTTGTCTGAGGTCACACGGCCAGTTGGCCTGGCCAGGAATAGCTAGCTAGCTTCCAATTCTTCAAACTCTGGGGCCATGCTCCTTTGACCATGACAGATTATGGTCTGCCAGCCATGTGGAAATGCATCTTCATAACTCTTTACATTACCCGCTTGTGACCTCTTATCTGTTATTCTGTTTTTGAGATACGCAGTTATCTCAAACTACCTATTTTGAGATAGGGAGTTAAAAAATTACCTTGTTCAAAAATGTATAATGATTTCTACTACACTGCATGCTAATTTAAGAAGGTTTAAAAATTTTTTTAGAAAAATTACTCAACTCTTATTGTTCGTTGACCAGATGGAGTTGAGATTCAGCTACCAAATGGATTTGAAATATAAAATGGTGGTTATTGTGTGAGGAATCACTTTTCTCTCCCTCCCCCCTTTTTGGTGAAGAAATAGAAACTCCCAAGTCCCCCAAAAGGCAGTGTAATGTACTGTGTGGTGTTCAGTAGTCTTGATCTTCAATCCTCCTTTTTCTTGTGAGCTAAGCAGCCCACCTCATGAGAGCTCTTGAGTGGCTGGTTTCTCATTTTTAGTATGTGATAATGTTGGAGAGAAAGGACTTTTTTGCAAGCTTGCCATTTGGTGAAGGAAATTGAAATTCCTTACACCTCCCCAGTCCTCCCCAACCACAGAGAGCCAGGTTTTCAAAACCAGTGCGAGCTCTGCAGGCCTAGAGATGAATGTGTGCATTCAAGCTGAGCCCTCCCTGTGCAGGCCCACCTCCCAGCTGACTGCCCCATGCTGCACCCAGGTGGCTGTGTTCTAGAGAAAAAAAGAGGACCCCTGTGTTACCTGTGCTGTCTGTGCTTCGCCCTCGAGGTCTCAGTTGTGTCTGAATGGATCCTCCTGCCCCTTTTCATTTTTCTCCTCCCCTATGCTTTTTCTGTCACTGGCATACTAACATGGGCCCCAAAGGTCTTTCTAGGAGTCTGCACAAACCATCCCCACATTAGCGATGTTGACCGTGAGTGACATCTAGCATTTATTAAGCACTTGCTGTACGCACTAGATTTGTCACTTCCTAAGAAGTACCAAGGAGGAGCTGGGAAGATGACTCAGTGAGAGAGCATTTGTTATTCAAGCATAAGGACCTGAGTTCAAGTCCCCAGAACTCATGTAAAAAGGCCTGTGTGGCTGTCCAAGGGTACCTGTAACCCTAGCACTGTGGATGTGTGGGTATGGGTGTGACTACAGGAGGATTGCTGGGGCTTGGTGGCCACCAGCTGAGCTCTAGGTTCAGTGAGAAATCCTATCTCAAGGGATTAAGGTGGGGGAGTGGTAGAGCAGGATATCCAATGTGCCTCTGGCCTCTGTGTGCACTCATGAGAACGTGCACCCCTGCACACAAACACACACGTGTATACACATGTATACATATACAAAGAAGTCCCAAGACAAGAGGGAACTCCTTTGGGAGCCTTTCCCAGAAAGGACAGCCCTTCTGGAATTCATCGGGAATTGAGTCATTCCTTCTTGTATCCAGTAAACATTTGCTCAGTGGCTCCACTGTGGGAGGTGCTAGTCATGCAAAGATGAATAGTTCCCTGTTTTCAAGGCCGCTTATTTTTGGCCCCATCTTTCATTGTCAGGCTTACACTCTTTCATTTAGTTAATCAATTCCACAACCGTATATTGAGCACCTGCTCCACACTAAGCTGTGCATGAAGTCTGGGGGGTGTAGTGATGAACCAGGTCTATGGGGGCCCGCCTCCTGGGGCTTGCGTTCCACCAGAGGAGACAGGCACCTGGAAAGAAGCAGGTAACGTCTAACAAACGAAAGAGAACCCTGTAGAACATGAGTTATCCAGGAAACCAGAGAGTGAAGTGGGGGCTGAGGGTACAATGTTGGTTCTTGGTTTGCCAGAGAAAACCAGGCCTGAGGTTGGAAGGTAGAGAAGGAACTAGCCAGGCAGAGAGGGTGTGGGGAAGGACATTTCAGGCAGGGGGATGGGAATGTGCAAAGTCCTCTGTACACAGGAGAGCTCCAAGCTTTCCAGGGAATGAGCAGAGTCATGGACCAGAATGAGGACCAGGAAAACAATGCAAGGTGTGGTTGAAGAGTATGTTAGGGCCTAGTGCACACAGTGGGACCTCCTCCTACCACGTGCAAAGGAATCGTTGTCAGGTTTAAGCTCAGGAGTGGCACCTGATCCACTTTTTTTTTTTTGGTCTTTTTGAGACAGGGTCTCCCTGTAGCCCCAGCTGTCCTGGAACTCACTATGTAGACCAGGCTGGCCTCGAACCCACAGAGATCTGCCTTGCCTCTGCCTCCCGAGTGCTGGGATTAAAGGCGTGAGCCACCACACCCGGCTGATTCACATTTTTTAAGAGATTGCTTCATGAAGAGTGGGTCAGAGAGCAGAGTGGGTGCAGAGAAGCCGCTTAGGAGGCCATTGTTCTGTTCCAGGAAAGATGATGGTGGTGCAGACCAGAGTGGTGGCTGTGGAGGTGGAAAGGAGCAGATGTAGCCTCCTTAGGGCTTGGAGATAGAACTGGGGCAGCCTGGTGATGGATACATAGAGCCGATGTGTGTGGTGGTGGTGGTGGGGGGAGTCTGAACTCAAGCATGAGTCCTAGGAATCCATCTGGAGCAGCTTGGCATGTGGTGACATCACCTTGGAGACAGGAGTTATGTTTGTGGAGACAAAGCTGGGTATTGATCATGCGTGGTGGCATCCATAGGAAGGTCTTGGGCATGAGACCCTGAATGCAAGGGAAGACAAATGTCAAGCCTGGAGACACTCTTCTCAGCCTGAAGCCTAACCACTGGAACACTTACTACCATCTACCTGCTGTGTGGTTTTCCTGAGCATCTGCTATGTTCCAGTATGCTCTTCCTCTCGTGCTGGCTGACTCCCTCTTACTTTAAAATGCACCCATGTTGTTATCTCCTGAAAGATGCCTCTTACTCCCTGGCCCACTCTTGGATCCTTGAAATCCCTCATTGTCTTGTTCACCCTAAGTTCCTTTTTCTTAATATCTTAGATCTATGAAAAATTTGGACTGGCCCTATCACATAGTAAGTCCTAAAAGCAAATACAAGTGTAGCAAATGTCAGCTATTATTACTATTGACTAGGGTAATGGGCATATAAATAAAAATGGAATTCTTTTAAGATAAGTATAGTGATAATATAGTCATTTATTGCAGTAATAAATATCATGGTTTATCCAATAAACGTTTACCATCTTACAGTTCCGGAGGCCTGAAATGTTTCTCACTGTTCTAAAGTCAAGGTATTGTCCTCCTGGAAGCTCTAGGGAGAACTGTTTGCTAGTCTTTTCCAGCCATAGAGGCCACCGGTGTACGTAGGCTCATGTTGTCAAAGCTAGCAATACCCACACTGGTTTTTCTCCTCCAGCATTCGATCCTCTCTTCTACATTTAAGGATTTTGTAAGTAATTGCACTGGGTCACCTATTTAATCTTCTGTCCCTATCTTTTTTTCCCCGAGACAGTGTCTCATGTAGCCAAGGCTAGCCTTGAATTCCCTATGTAGCTGAGGCTGACGTTGAACTTCTTATCCTCCTGCCTCTACCTCCTAAGTGCTAGGATTACAGTTGGGATTGCAAGTAGTCATCATTGTACCTGATAAATGGAGGAAACCCAGGACTTCATCCCTGTTAGGCAAGCACCAGCTGAGCTCCATCCCTAGCCCTGCTGTCCTTATTTTAAGATTGGCTGATTGGCGGCCTTACATCCATCTGTAGCCTTAAATCCCTTTGGCCGTACAACTGGGGACTAGGATGTGGATGCCTCTGGTGCTGGTAAAGCAGTGCTATGGGTGAGGGGGAGAGGCTCCTATCCTAGCCTGGAAGGCAGGTCAGAGGCATTTCCTGTGACACTAGTGATGGATGTCTAGGCCTTCCTCTGCACTCTTCTGAGGGGAGTTAGGTTGAGGTTCACTTCAGTAGTCTTTAGACAGCGGGCCTGATGGTTCTCTTTCAACCTAGGGATACTGACTCTTCTCACTCTGCCTCATGGGTGA